AAAAATGAAATGCTGTAAATATCCCATCCAAAATGGTTTGTTAATGTCATGCAGTAAAATTCAGTGTATATTGAAAGGTGAACACATAGCTGACTCATATGTGCTAATGGGAGTTATTCTCCCATTGAAATGTCTAATTTTATGGCATTTATTACTCTATGGATAAAATCAGTTCAATGTCTCCTACATTTTGTGCATTTGCCATTTCTATTCATTCATCAAGCCACACAGAAATTAACACAAATATTGTAGGCTTTATGAACTTAAAATTTTGAATCAGCTTATTGTTCATGTTCACATAAGCAGTTTGAGATGCTCTTCGTTTGAATTCTTTATTGAATTACCAAATGAATTTTAATATGTATGCTTTTCTTCAAAAAGTCCATTATTTGCATTCAGCTTTCAACTGATGCAGTAACCCAAAAACAGGTCATCCACTTTAAGCCTAGATGAATCTTTTAGATGTAAAAGTACAGATAGTAGTACTGTCGATTTTGCCATACATAAGACCAAATAATTCAAGAACATTTTGACCGTGTTGATCAATCCCTGCCTCCCTAATTCGACAGACCAAGCCTCCCGCGACTTCCTTGGCTGGATTGGGGTTTTTCTTCTTGGTCTAAAGCCGATCTGAGTAGTTGACTACGTTAAGGCAACTGGAGTGGTGTACATCACGCCAGATCATGCTATGTCTAGGCAGTTGATTTCAACAATCCAGGAACCATATTGGAAACGTTAAGACCCATTTTGGAGAAACCTTGACAAAAACTACGAAAGTCAAAATTAGTTCTGTCCCTGAGCGCTACGCAGATGAAACATCAGATGAGGTGTTGTTTATGAAAAGGAAGCTGCATTCCACCGGGAGAACGATTGAACAATTTAGCACTACGCAGGTGAAACATCAGATGAGGTCTTGGAATTGTGTCCACCGGTTCTACTCATAACTCAGTGCAAATTTGATTATTCCATTTTTCTGTGTTACATCGAGTACATCCCGTCTGCGCAGGAAACGTGGCCTGGACATCAGCCCGTTCACTCAGGGTTAGTCATCCAAGTTAATATTGGTAGCCAGAAAGAATCTCTACAAGTGTTAAGTTTATAATGTTCCCCAATCGAGCTTTCTTCATTAGATTTTTGTTTTGTTGCGTCCCACTTCTATTAAGGCAGTATTTATTGCCTAATCAGGACATCAATTTATCGTTTATGGTTAAAACGTGGATCGAGGATTATTGAAATCATGTACTCGAGAAGAAGATTTGATAGGTGCTAATATCTGATAACAATTCTTCTGGAGCGACCGTTAGATTAATCAGAATCTACAAACATAACACTGGATTACGCGTTGGTTTATTAAAAACAACTTCCTGTACCACTTGGGCAGCTCGACTTTGCTGCGCAGGATCTTCTTTGACTTTGTAGAAATGGATGTGTGACTTGTGCTGCTCGCCTTCGCTGCACATGATCCTGTCAACTCATGGCTTCGTTGACTTTGTAGAAATGGATGTGAGACGTGGGGACCTCGCCTTGGCTGCAGATGATCCTCGTTGACTTTAAAGAAATGTGTGAATTCGTCAGATAGGATTCATATTATTCATGTCGTTCTGTATTTCAGCATTATATCTTAAGAAGGTAACGGTTTCTTGTTGTATGATTTATCGTGAGATGAAAGATATTGCTGGAGAGTTTTACTAAGAAGCCAATGCGAGGTGTATTTTTACCATTTAGATATTTAGCTCATGATCTTATCGGTCCATCTGAGAGATCTCAATGTACATATAAAGATGCTTTGACATTTTGGAACAAAAAATGTTACATTCTATTTTCTCAAAGTGTGTAAAATCAGATTACATTTTAGTTTCATTAAATAAATACAATCTAAAGTAGTACGTGGGCGGATGTTGTCAACTGACACGAAGCCATGCCATCATTGCCCATTAAGAATATGGTAATTTGTCAACTAGGCTTCGTAGGATAGTGTTTTAAAAAACTAAGCTCTTCTTAATTTGTCATCTATCCAAAAGACGAACTTGCATATTTTCAGCTCTTTCCTTTTTGTGATTCCAGCCATCTTCATGAAATTTTGACTAGAGATGTCCCGACCTTTAACTAGGACTATTATTACTAGCCACTTGCAAATCAAAAGACGTGACAGGCCATATTGTCGGACGTCTCTGCCTATTTTGAAACCCAAGATGGTGTTTACCCACATAGAAAGTTCATTCTTTGAGTTGCTTATTTTAACATTGAGGATTTGGAGGGGTATCAACTGTCGCACAAAATCCTTCAAAAAAGTCAAGGAAATTGTGTATGTATCGCTGTATAGGCAGAACTCCTTTCAGTATAGTTTTCAAAGTTTATGATGTCTTCACTTCAACTTATAATCTTAAAAATTTAGTCACAAGTTTTTCGTACAAACTGAGTTACGAAGAGCATAGACGACAAAAATTTCATGGGAACACCAGGAGTGGGCAGTCTATTTATCCATTTGAACTGGTACCGACAGTATATGTCTCGTTACAGATTATTCTCCTGAAGCGACTTTCAAGTAATGTGTTTCTGTGATGATCGCCTGTTTAAAAGAATATTTCTGGCCTTATATGCTTCAATTTCTTTCACATTGCAAAGGAATGGCGTACTGTTGTAGGCCTGCGAAAAGAGGGGAATGGGCCAGCAGGACAGGCAGTTGGGGGGGGGGGGGATATATCTCTTAATGGAAGTGGGGCTGCGGGGGGGCTATGGTACTCTGGACAAACATGTGATCACATGGCGGAAATTGGGCGTAGGCGCTTCAAATAAAAATTAGGAAATTATTTTAGATGGAACGGACCAAACGGAATTGGTTCCTACATAATTCATTGCTGGATATGATCAAAGCCAAAACGCGAAAAAAGTGGAGTCATTGGCATCTTACGCCGTTATTAACTTGGAGAGTTGGTCATTGAATGCCCAATGCCTTACCTCGAAAGTCACCAGCGTGCTGAGTTACATCACCAGCAGAAATTAAATAACGAAGTTACCTTTGCATGAAAACTCTAGTGATACATCAACAGCGATATCAAGGAAATAAAATTACAATTATATGGCATCCCATCTTAAGGGCGAGGGGGCCCATAGGACAAGAAGTCAACGGAGGCAGCTAGGCATCTCCCTTTGCCTCGTTAAACTCGTACACGTCATCTTTCGTTAATTCGCCTAGTTCACATTGTCGGAAAAAACGCCTACTACCTGCTCCATGGGACATTTACTGGGCCAGGGAGGTGGATGGGTGGTGGGTTTCATCAATCGGACTTGGGGAATATGTTTAAGGAATTGTTGTGGGATTCACTATCAATGTGGTCGAATGCTACTTCATGAGTTTATTGTCGGAGCCCTCAACGTTGAGATCAAATATAGAGCACCGAAAGATCCGGCCATATTATCTTTTTATCCAAAATTTAAAAATCCAAGCTGGAAACATGCGAATGAAGGTTTTTTCTATTATTTTTTGAAGTCATTGGGACTAAATCAAATGGATCCACAACACGGAGAGTCGGTCAATGACTATCCGATGACTCGGTCTATACCATCAACATGGTGGTTGGAGGTTCAGTTGCTTCGCAAAATTGATGGTAGCATCCCCATGAGCTCTCCGTCATCTCCCTACGGAAATTCCTACTCGGCATTAGTAAAGAATAGGATTCTCTAATCGCGAGAAAACTGTGGACCGCATCCTGTTTGGTTGCGCTGGCGAAGATACTGCAATTCCAAGTCTCCCCAATGGCTGAGAAGGCTCATACGATGAAGAGGTATCGATGGAGGCTGTGGCGACTCTTTGATGCTGCTTGATTGGTCCCCAAAGTCAACTTCCTCTCCATTACCCTTTGAAATAGATGCGGTATCCATGGAACTGGCAATTGGCACATATCAGGCAGGCTGAATGTTTACAGCCATACCCTCTATCCGGTGAAAGGGGCAGAGCGGGGTTCTCGATCTCCAGAAACCCCTCCAAAAAGTCAAAGCTGAAGACCAACACGTGAAGAACGCAGGAGATGGCAGTGATGGTGAAAAAGATCCCCTCGCAGGGTCAGTCTACGGCCATTTTCTATTCTCCTTTCCCCGACAAGTTTTAATGCAGTCCACTGAAAGCAGGTAGATGGTCCAGACGTTACGGAATAGAGATGTGCTTCCTATCCCTCATCTCCTTTCTCTAGATACTTTTATTTTTATTTCCCTTATTTAATAACTTAGGTGTTACAAAGCTAAGATTAAATATAAAACATCAACATATTTTTATAAAAAATACTAAAGTCGGAATACCAAACAAGCAAGTTTCTAAGCTAATCCATTTTGACAAGACGAAGTTTCCGGGGCCCCCTGGGGTGGCAAATATGATGTCTGCAATGGGCCACGTGGGCCATTGCAAGCAGGTTATGAACGCAGATAATTCCTGAAACTCTTCTAAATTTAGCTAAAACGTTCAGAATAATAACGTTAAAGAGACCTAAAAATTCTACGTAAAGCATATGGTCTTGCAAAATATATTTAGCAACTTTGTTATACAGGCTATAAGTTGGACGGACCTAAAAGAATGTCATTTGGAGCTTGGTTAAGAGTCTGAAGAAGGGTATAGTTTTATGTTGATGCGGAAAACATGGTCATCACCGTAGATAATGCAAGAGAACAACTCCCTTGACGTCAGGCATGGTTGACATATACTCTCATCAACGGGGAGAGTGGGGCCTCATGCATTTCGCTTGTTCAATCATCCACCTAAACTTGTAGACTTCCTACCTGCCGTGAAATCGATCAGGAGGAAGGGGAAGGCAAAGCCTGTGACTCTTTCAATGGCGAAATGAGACCTGGAAAAAGCAAGGGTCCGTTAACTGTTTTCGGATTTAAGTCTCAGGCGTACAATCTTCACTACAGATAGCCTACAAGCTTCTACAAGTTAGAAACTTTGGGGCGTTGCTTTTGCGGACGGGTTGCCGTTGCGCTCGGAGAAGCAGCTGGTCGCGGTGGCGATGGGGTTGTGGGTGCTGGTGATTTGCATCCTTGCGACAACGTCCGCCTCGCAGGGCCAGTCTATGACAGGTATCCCCTCTTTTCCGTCTATTCAGATTTCGTGGCTTACAATCGGCTAAAACCAGCGAGATAATACCTATGTTAGCCGCTGCTTTTCTTGTTCGAGAAGTCCGATTCCCAGATAAACAGGTAGAAGAGACCATTGTAGAAATTTCTTGTCCGAAGGAAGATCATGGTAGAAAAAATACTCGAAAGAATTTAGAATATCTTGGTTGAAATAGTCCAAAAACTTTATACTCTTCGAAAGAAAAATCTCCCGTTCGCTTTGAAGATGCTTCTCAAAGGTCAGGTTCTTTTTCAGGTTTCATTAGCATAGACTGCGGCCTCGAAGGGGACTCTAATTACACGGATTCGGCCACGAATATCATCTACTCACCGGACGCCCTCTACATCGACACTGGGGAGAACAGAAGAGTCTCCCCAGAGACTAACGTTACCGGCTTTTTCGAATTCTACAAAACCCTCCGGAGCTTCTCCAAAGGAATGCGGAACTGCTACACGTTGCGGCCCCTGGTAAAGGGCCGCAAGTACCTGGTGAGGGCTGTATTCCAGTACGGTAACTTCGACGGCCGAGATTCCCCGCCAACATTCGATGTCTATCTCGACGTCCACTTCTGGCAGACTGTGCCGCCAAAGAAGTTCTCCCGACTGGAGATCATCGCCATTTCACCCGGTGAGTCCATGCAGGTCTGCCTGGTCAACAAGGGTTTGGGGACGCCGTACATAACGGTACTGGAGCTGAGAACCCTACTGGATTCGATCTACCCCCTGGTGAACACTTCTCAGGCTCTTGTTCTCCGGGGTGACAGGACGGATCACGGAATTAACGGCTCTAGGAGGTCATGTTCGCTCCGTCCCCTCTCTCTTTCTTCCGGTATACATTCATATACGTAAATATATACACATATATGTAAGATGCCTATCTCTCACTTCAGATTCTTGCTGTAGACATAACGGATAAATTGAAAACGGCTGCTTTATAAATTTGATTCACAGGTATCCACAAGATCCCTATGATCGTATCTGGTTCGGCCTTTGGAATAGCGAAGATTGGCTGCCGAAGAGCACGAACGAGACAATTGAACCCGGGACTAAAGACTTTATGGTGCCGGGGAGCATTCTGAGCACGGCAGTGACGACGCCGAATGTCTCCGAGAGCATAAACTTCACCGTGGCTGGGATCCTTGGGGAGAAGATATACGTGTTTATGTACTTCGCGGAGCTTCAGCAACTCGAAAGAAACGAGACGAGAGAGTTCAACGTCTATGCAAACAATTCCCTGTGGTTTCGGCAGTTTCGACCGAAGTACTTGTCAGCGGTTACTCTATTTACCAACAGCCCAGGGGCCGGAGGGACGACCACCTACTCCCTCAAAGCCACCGGAAATTCTACCCTACCACCCATGATCAACGCCTTCGAGTCTCATATCTTGGTACAGTTGAGCGCGTTGCCTACGCAGGAGAATGACAGTGAGTGCCTCTACGTTCTCCATGTCGCTGCAAGTTAGCTTACTTTACTGTGCTGTTTAGTGCGAGGATAGAAACGGTACATTACACCGACTCCTTGATAATCCTTATCCTCGATGAAAATCAGATAGATTTGTCAAAAACTGAATAAATAGGGGGTTGGATCTAACCTGAATCAAAGATTCTTAACCGGGCGGTTAGTTTAACATAATTTTGTACTAGTGCTGTCCGGATCATTGATGAAATGGTGTTGGGCGTAATTAATATCACACCAGGCGATGTCTAAATTCAGTTTCCTTATTCAGTTATTTTTTTGTATATTCTCACTAGTACTCACTACATGTTTTGGGCTACAGCCAAGGCTATAACAAAGATTAGAGATTTTTACAAGCTGAAGAAGCACTGGGTAGGCGATCCATGCGAGCCCCAGAATCTCACTTGGGAGGGCTTAATTTGCAGTAATGATGACTCTCAATACCATAGGATTGTGGCTTTGTAAGTTCCTTATATAATGACTCTCAAAACCACAGGACTGAATCACTTTGGATAGTCTAAGGACAAGGTGATGATATTTTCTTGCAGAAACCTGTCTCATGCTGAGCTTGGTGGCGAAATTTCTCCATATATATCTGAACTCAGCGCTCTAGTGTCGTTGTAAGTTTCTTCCATATTAGAGAGTACTTCCATATTACCAAGACAAAGGTATGAAATATCATGAAGAGCATGGCAAGGCACTTCCTTAAGAAACTTAAAGTTGATAAATACTTATCCATGAGGCAGTTAAAATAACTATTTCAAACGGGGCGCTGTCACAGATTGACCAGGTCACTATGCTTAGTTTTTTTACGTAGAAGTGCCTTCAACTTTTAGTAGAACTGTAACCTTTTAGTAGAAGGAATAAAAGCGACTTCAATTTGATAACAGGGTAGGCAGCACAGTGATGATTATAGTTCAGATGAGCGGAAGTGGAATTTATAAGAATTTGAAAAGGAAAAGGAAAAGGAATCCTAAGAACAGCTCTATGAAGTAACATATAAGTTTTTCAAACGGGCAATTTTAGTGTTTTTTCTAATTATTTTCTACAAGGTAAATGAGTGCGATATCAAACGCCTGTGCATGCTGCATTTTCTAGCTATAATAACTGTAATCCCGGGAAAGGAAAAGGGGAGGACTTAAAGGACAAGTCACTTTAAATTGACTTACATCTGTGATTTTTTTATTTCAGAGACTTGTCAAATAACAACTTGACAGGTGAAATTCCTAGCGATCTGATAAAGTTGTCGCAGCTTCAAGCCTTGTAAGTTTCTGGCATTACCTTTTTAACTGGCATCTTGATAATTTTTCACTATTATCTTAAACTTTTACAGGAACTTGTCAAATAACAACTTAACTGGACAAGTACCCCCAATTCTTGAAGAGAAATCACAAAACAAGACTTTCTCTTTAAGGTTTGTACTTATGTAAATGAAATTGTTTAGAAACCATTTTGACTATAGACAAAATACTATCAATATTACTCAATGCATTAGTTAATTGAGTATAATAAAGTTTCAAAGTCTATCAGGCTTAATTTTTTGATGTTCTTTTGATATTCAAGGTTTAAACTTTTGAACTAGCTTGTACCCTAGAAAATACCCTTTGATGAAACACAGAACACTGAGGAGAGACTGTATTCGAAACATGATTGACCTGTTTTTTTATATACATCATTCTTTTCTATAGATGACTACGCATCAGGTGATGTTTATATGATTTTTTACTCATAATTTACATTATAACAAACTTCTTTCTTAAAATGCTAGGACTGATGGCAACACAGATCTATGTACTAAAGTCCACCCGTGTGAAACAAAGGAAACAAAGGAAACAAAGAAAACAAAGAAGGTTATTGTTCTAATTGCAGTCCCTGTTGGAGCAATTTTTGTTATCCTCTTTGTTCTAGTTATATTGTTATGGAGAATTAGAAGGGGAAAAAAAACTATCCATGACGCTACACCAGAAGGTATATAACTCTTTTCCATTGCCATATTTTAAGCATGGATAGTACTTAACAGTGTCGTAGCATATGCTACGTGCTATTCTGACATTTTATTTTTGGACACTGGAAATCTCGAGCACCATTCCAGACCTTCAGTCGAGGAGACCACCAGAAAATTTACATTCAGAGAGTAACCAATTCACATTCGCAGAGATTGTAGACATCACTAAAAACTTTCAAAACCAGATTGGGAAAGGTGGGTTTGGAATAGTATACCATGGTTACTTAAGAAACGGAATTGAAGCTGCAGTAAAGATGCTATCAAAAACATCTTCCCAAGGGCCAAAAGAGTTTAAAGCCGAGGTAACTTCCTCATACCTAAATCACTGATTCTCCATTAAATTTATCTTATAACGACTGACCTACTATGTTTCTTCCTCGTGAAGACATTATTTTAACACAGCTTTAAGTTTTAATTCAGGCTCAAATATTGACGAGAGTACACCACAAAAATCTGGTGTCTTTATTAGGATACTGTAATGATCAGCATAATCTTGCACTAGTGTACGAATTTATGGTGCAGGGCAATCTGAGAAATCATTTATCAGGTTTCCCCAATTTTACAAAATTTCTGAGTGTCCTATGCTATCATTCACTTCCTCATACATTGTCTACATGAATATGCGTAGATCATACGATTAATCATCTAAGCTGGAGCAATAGAATTAGAATAGCACTTGAAGTTGCACAAGGTATACTTAAAAAAAACTACAAAATTTTGATTTCAGTGTGTATATACTTTTTGTTCTTGTATTAACACAATTTTCAAATCTCTAATTCCAGGACTTGACTATTTGCACAGCTTCTGCAAGCCACCTATAGTTCATAGAGATGTGAAAAGTACAAATATTTTGTTGAATAGTAATATGGAGGCAAAATTGGCTGACTTTGGGCTGTCTAGGCTTTTCCATGACGACTCAGCTTATGTTTCAACTGTAGTTGCTGGCACTCCAGGATATCTTGACCCTGAGTATGCTCTCAACTGATTTTAGTTTTTTAAGAAAAAATAATTACTTTATACAATTCACAAAGGTTCTGTATTGATTGCACTATTTTCTGCCACGTTCCATTACAGGTATTACCAAACATCAAAGTTAAATGAGAAGAGCGATATTTACAGTTTTGGTATTGTTATGCTAGAGCTTATTACAGGGAAATCGCCAATTATTGATGGATTGGAGAAAATATTTATTGTCTCATGGGTTCAGTCAAGAATTGAAAAAGGTGATATATTTCAAATAGTAGATCAAAGATTGCAAGGGGAATATGATATTAACTCTGTATGGAAATATATTGAAATTGCACTGTCATGTGCATCACATTACTCTACCCAGAGACCAAGCATGAGTGATGTAGTGATGAGGTTGAAGGAGTGTCAGTCCTCCATTTCCTCAAACGAAATACCCAGAAATTATGAGGATTCAGCACAAAGTTCAGCTGCAATGTTTCATGATTCCCTTTTTCATGGCACAAATCCGCTAGTAAGATAGTAACTTGAGAATTATCACAAAATAAGTTCAGTCACAATGTATTTCAAGGTATTGTAACGTGAGAATTACTTGTGTTTGTAATAAAAGGGGATCTAGCATATGGATTCAATGTTCTTAATAGGTTCATGTTTTTTACAATTTATTAGTTTTGACATTGTCATATCTGGCAATTGAATTGTATCCTACTGATAATCATAGATGCTTCCTTCAAAGTCAACTAGTAATGGCATTATAGCTTGCTTTCTAATTGACAATTTACTCTGAAATTTTATTCTTAACAATTAGTGCCTACCAAAAATCCCATTCTTTGCACTGAAATAGATTTCATGTCATGTTTCCATGTTTGAAAAATATATAATGCAAATAAAAATCATAAATTCTGATAAATCATGTTTTCAGATAGAAATATGCTTAGGATAATGGCATGTGTGAAGTACCAGTGGGTAAATAATTATTTGTAGAAATAAGGATGTTTTTATCCTAGTATGATAAATTTCGGTTTGTTCAGTGGGTTTTGAATGTTGTTCTCAATTTATATTTAATGAGTTGGTAAAACATACCACATAATGTGGACTTAGAGGAGGTCTCACAGTTGGTCATATTCTTATGATGCTTAAAAGTTACTATATCTGTAGTTTTTTTAAAAGGGTAATACATTTTGAGTATCAAGAAAGTAGAAAAGCCTACAAATGATGCCCAAAATACCTTTGGTATTCAGCATCCTAGAAATTACATTAGTAAATGATCACATTTTAGTCATTGAAATAAACACATCAGATGTACTTATCCGAACACAAATACTAGAAATCAGATTTAAACTTTCAGGATTTTAGGCTGATCCTTAGGGATGATTGTCAAAGAGAATATGAAATTATGTCTCGAATTCTTATTAAATCAAAAGGGAAAATAGAACTGTGACTTGATAGAGTCAATAAAATTAAATGAAAGAGAAAGAAATTTAGTTCTTTTACATCAAGTATGTCACACATTTGTCTTACAAGAACTCAAGACAAAAAAAAAGAAAAAAAAAAAAAAGGTGAAATGTTATCCTTTGCCAGTGGAATTGATAAAATAGTAAAGATAGTAAAGATGCAGAAGTTAGTCCCTTTATAGATTACTATGTCACTCAAACATGTAAAGAGGGATAGCGTAGTGAATTTAAGCAGTAAAGGGATTCTCATGAATGTCTGCATGGGAGAGAGAATTTGCAACACGACGCCGCTCGAACAAGAGAACAGTGTTCAACGTGTAGAAACCCGTCGATTGCACGAGGCCATGCAGGCTTGCACGCGTTGGCACGGGCACAGCATGCTGCAGACATAGGCATTGTCTGGTTGGACGACACTGGAGTTCAGGGGAATCATCCTAAGAACCCTGGAGTTGATAGAGACAGATGCCCACAGGTGGCACATGCAGGCACATTGTAACATGCGGGAGCACAGAAGGCTAGTGAAAGGGAATGCACACTTCAGTTGGACGACTCTGCCAAAACAGTGAGATCTGAGGTTCCAGGAAAGAATCCCATGAACAATTAGAGGTCATTCGCATGAAGATAGCATGGTATGACGTTGCCACGGTCTCGGCGTAGAATCACATGGCATGGCGTGAGTGATGCGTGTGCTAAGGTTCGTGACACAGTGAATTGTCGCACGACACGAGGAGTCACTATGCAAAGACAGACGGAGCGTGCACATATACTTGCCTAGATTAATAAAGATAACTTCAGCAGTGTAAAACTATGTATGATTATGTTATATAGTCTCTTCACCCAGACAGTTGCTAAGGAATAGCAATTACCTTTTTATTATTGACAAAATCTGCTGACATGTCATAACTTGGTTGCGTTTTAATATTCCATCACAGCATGTTTATGTACCATGATATGCTCTTCCATGGCAAAGATGGGAAGGAAGGAGAGTTACTTCTCTTTTCTTAGCCACGTGCCGTCACTTCTTCGTCTTATCCCCTATGCTGGTCACAGAAGAGATTTTCTACAGAATTTTGAGAGGTCCTCAAACCTTACATCGTTTTTCTAAGTCTATATGTTCCCAAAGTTTTCCCGTTATCAATAGAAAGAAGGTCAGCCTTACAGAATGTTGCGAGGAGAATATCTGGCATGCGGGAGTAGTTATGGACCACATGCATGACAACTGCTGATAAAAGCAGCAGCAGTATCGGGAGCTATTGGCTGCCCAGAGCAACAGCTATAGTGATGCAAAGATGGAGAGTAACATGTGCATTTTGGGTGAACGTGATGCATTTAATTCTATGGCCAGCTGGAGTTGTTATTTGAAGACGAGCAACGTTGAAAAAAGTAGGAGTTGGTGTTTGCCATTCAGATTTAGGCAGCACAGATGATTTTTCTCTCTAGGTTCTCACAGGCCAATGCAGGACCCCATGAGATTGAGCGGGATCAGTAGTGTAGCAGATTATGCAACACCATTAACGGGCTGCCATGCTAGCTGAATGTGAGGACATCATGTACCAACCCCCGTCAGTAGGAAGGTCCTCTTCCCCTGATAGAGAGAGAGTGAGAGAGATAGATAGAGAGAGAGAGTGACTGAGTGAGTGTGTGTGTGTGTGTGAGAGAGAGAGAGAGAGAGAGAGACAGAGGGAGGGGGGTGTGCGACTCCGAGATATAGGTTCCTAAAGTCGGGGTCTTCTTGCATTTGCTGCGAACTTAGAAACCAAATACGTTTATTTTATACGCAGAAGTAAACTAATTTATTTTATACGTTTACAGCGGGAAATCCTGTCTCAGATTTATTATTTTATCCCAAATTTATTGTTGATGACAATCAAAGCTCTTAGAAGCTTTCTTAACAAAAAAATGTGCAGATATAATAAAAAATAATGTCCCCAGTTATTAAAATTGTGATTCTGATTCCTGATTTTAGCGCAAACTAGAATTCGAAGCTCAATGACTTGAATGAGTGATTGTTGTTCTTTCTCCAGCTGTAGATCTCCTAATCAGTGTGATGCAGGACAAGATAATGAAAACGACTAAACTACCTTAGACAAGTAACTAAGACTTGATTCGTACAAAGTTCTAAGGATTAAGAAGAATGATCAAGCAAAGATCAAATGCTTTCCTATAAGATTTGAAATAAAAGGATCCATGTGATTAAGAAACTGCCAATGATTAGGGTGCTCCATTTTCAATAAATTGATAAGTGAGAATCAAGTGAGTCATCTCCCTCTCTCCACCAGCGATGTATCAAACTGGCCTATCTAGAATCAGTCAACAGCAATATTGCAAGATAAAATACTAAATCAACAAAATGCTCAACCAACCGTGTGCCGTGCCGTTGACCTTATGTTGACATTTGACCATTTAGTTGACTTTTGGCCGGGGTGTTGACCATTGACCTGGTTGATTGGCGGGACTGTGACTCGAACCGACGAGACGGCTCCGGCAGATCAGACGGTCCGAATGGTTCTGGCCGGCGGAACGGTTGGCTCGGGCCAAGCAGTCGGGCTGGCTTGGACAGTACCGTGATCGGACGATCGGTCGGGCTGAACCAGATCGGTTCGGTCCAGTGGTTCATGATACCGCTGGCCGGGGATTAAAGTTCTACCAGTGAGAAAAACTAGGGGAAACACGAATTGTTCGTACTGGCGGAGGAAAGGAAGGCGGCGGCGGGGGAATAGGCGGAACAGACGGAAACGGAGGCAGGGAAGGTGGCGACGGGAAGCGGCGAGCGACGGGATGGGCTAGGATGGAGGGGGGGCCGGCGGACTGTGGATATGAACGGCAGCGAGCGATGGATGGGCTAGACGGAGGAAGGTGACAGAGGACGGCGGCGGTGATGTATGTCGGCGGTGGCGATGGATTAGTGACCCTCACGGCCTCTCCTTAAAACGGAGCGATGAGCCTCACGGCTTCTCCTTACAGAGCGAAAGAGGTAAACCTCGAACTAATCGCTTCTCTAATTGCTCTTAGAGCGACACGAGGTTATTTATTACCTCTCAAGGAGGAATGGTGCGTGGATGGCTTGGCCGGTGCGCTATTCAAGAAGGAATGCTCCGTCTTCTTCGCTCCTCACCACACTGCGTTTCTCCTTTCCCGTCAACTACAGCCCGTCACCTTTCCTCTCCACAAAATGGCCGCAACCTTCCTTCTCTCTGTTCTGTAGCAGCGTGCCTTGCCTTCCTCCATCGTCCTCAAATCGGTGCCCAGATGCTTGGACGCTAAATTTCGACTACTCCTCGCGTCACCTCGTGTCGCAAGTCCAGGGAACAACGGTGTGAAAGTGAGACGACCCCGGAATCTTCGGACTCGAACTGAAGAGATGAAGGGAACTAAGGGTCTTGACTTCATCCTCCACGCTTCCACGCTTCCACGCTTCCACGCTTCCACGCATCTCCGGAGTTAATTGGTTCGTTGGACCGCTAGGCCGTTGGGCCGTCTAACAAGAGTCATCCAGGTTCTCCGGTCTTCTCGAACCATCCTTGGTTCGGATTCAGTTATAAGTAGGTGAACCGTCCACTCGGCTCCCCTTCGACCGTTATGGCAGATGAACCGGATACTGAACCGGCAAACTAGTCTCAAGTGCTGTCGTCGCCTGTCGATGATCGATCTCTCTTCCGCTTCTCCTTTTGGTATGTGGGCCGGGTCTCACGAGGAGCAAATCAGAAAGCCCGGAAAACGAGGCGGTTTACAGAGGTCATAAGAAATTTCTTGTCAAGTTCGGTAATCTGCTCTCGAAGGCTTCCAAGTTCGGTAATCTGCTCTTGTCAAGACTTAATCAATCTGATGCGTATTTCTTCCTCAACCCAAGAAAAATTCAGTTTCAATTTTTTTCCTGCTGAATTTTCGGTAGTAAAAATGTTCCAACAGATTAATATTGCAGATAAAATCTTTCCAGTGTGAAACCTAGTGTGATTAATTTTCATACAAGTATGTATACATTGTGTACAAATCCTTTCGATCTCAGTTTTCTATAATCGTGCAAAACACAATAAATATGCAAAATGAGATACGAAGAAGACTGTCTGAA